TAATGAAGGTTAAGACAAGGTATTTATATTAAATTATTAATTTTCTAAGCATTTTGCTCTATAGATTAATCCTTGTTGGTGTACTCTATCAATACAAGGTGGGACACTTAAAAGATGAGTACTATGCAGAACTTTTGTTTTAGTTTTGGATAGAGTGGAGTGGGTTGCTGTGTGTGCTCCCAGTAAGGAGCTTCTCCCTCTCGGTTTGGTCTATTTACTGTTATTACTAAGTGTGAAAGAAAATCCCAAATGTTGGGTTGTTACCAGAACAGGACTAGATAGAGCTCTTCCAATTACAGATCTGGCAGGACAGTAGTTCATGTGACAAGCAAGAATTTTGGAGGGGATCACTTTCTGTTTTTACTATGGTATAAGGAGTGAAAGAAAATCTCCCCAATGGCGTACAAATAACCAAAAAAAGAAATGTAAGTTATAACCCTCCAAAATGGAAAAAGTTAAGTTATGCCTTAAGTTCTGCTTTAGGTCTATTGGCTCCTTTGAAAGCAAGTAAAGTGTTTTTTTTTTTTTTGCATAATTTAATCTAAAGTTTACAAGGTAATCTTAATGTTACTAAACCCTGGACCCTGCATTCACTATATCTTGTCTCCTACAGTACACAGAACATGGAAATGCAATTATTTTAGTAAATATAAACTTTTCTCATCAGCAGTTAGAGCAGTCTTGTGACTTCTATCAGTGTCCAGCAGAGCACATGTTAAAGCTTGTAGGAGGCATTTTCATTCTGCTGTAGGATGATGCAGAACTCCTGACCTCTGTCTCAACAGTGCTAATTGGCCCTGTGCTGATCACATGCACCCTCCCAATAAAAAAAAAAAAAAACTAGCAATACACACCAAACTGATCATGCACAGAGTGTCTCCACACCATATGTCTTATCAGGAGATAAGAAGGGGACACTGGAAGAAGGGGAAGATCAGAGAAGTCAGGATCAAACAGCCTTTTTACGAAATGCAGAGGATTAACCCCTTAGGTTCCACAGTGAATATGACATGCATGCTTTACTGCATATACAGACTGATTTTACTGTTGTGGGTTTAGTAACACTTTAAATATTGGATAGAAGCCTCTTATTTACCCCTTTTCAGCCAGCTAGTGGTAAGTAGAGATGAGCTTGGGTGTCCTCCAAACTCCAAACTAGCACTTTTTTTTACTTTTTACACAAATGAGTTTTGGGCTGGTCATTCCTGCCCTGCAGTGCGTTGCTTGTATGAGCAGGAATGAACAGCATAAAAAGAGTAGAGTAAATAGAGTCAATAGAGTAAAAAAAGTGCAAGTTTGGAGTTCAGCTTGAGAGGAAGAGTTTGGAGGATGTCCATGCTTATCTCTAATCTCCACCAACTGTCTGAAAAAGGGCAAATAAGAGACTTATATCCAATATTTAAGATTAACCTTGCAAACTTCAGACTCTCTTAGATTGCAAGCTCCAAGGAGCAGGGCCCTCCTAACCCTCTTGTATTGAACTGTATTGTTGCTGTATTGTCTCCCGTTATATTGTGAAGCGTTGAGCAAACTGTTGGCGCTATATAAATCCTGTATAATAATAATAAATTATGCAAAAAACTATTTACTGCTTCTAAAATGTTTACGGTATTCGTTAACTATTTTATTTAAATCTGTTAACTCTTTCTCAGCTAGCTTGTGGTGCGTATAGATCAGCTGGGTGTTCTCCAAACTCTGCCTCTGAAGCCAAACTCTAAACTTGTATTTTTATTTAAAATCTAAATTGAGCTTTAGGCTGCTCATTTCTGCTCCACAGCCTTTTGTGTGAGATTTGGAGCAGGAATGAGCAGCCCAAAACTCATTGGCGTAAAAAACAAAAGAGTACAAGTTTGGATTTGAAGGAAGCCCAAGCTCACCACCAGTAGTGAGCGCTCACCTGGTTTCTGAGTAGCTGTTTTCCTGTCAAAGTATGACTACAGACCTAACTTCAGCATATTGGGTTTTACACACAGCTGAATGACTGGAGGAGCGAAACACCTCCCACATCCTTCTCTGTCCTTATTCAGACACAGGAGCATTTAATGCACTCATTGAGCATGGAAGCTTCTTCTTGTATTAAATGTTTATTTGTAAAATAATCAAAGTAAAAAGGATTTAAAATACCAGTTTATAAACGTTTGAAAGAAAAACTAAGATGCAGTAAACAAAAAACCATTTTAGCTTCCCTTCACATGCTTTTCTTTTTCTCTTTTATGACCTCTAACCACTGGTTTATTTGATCATTTGTTTGTTAGTTGTCTTTGGAAGTTGACTTCTGCCCAAAGCTGTGAAGTGAAGCCTTCATCAAATTATAACAAGATACATTAACATCATTATTCTTGAAATTGCTGGAAAATCTCATTAATGGATTATAGTTGCTAACTAATAATATTAAACATTTTTGATGATTACTTTTATAGCTTCCGTTTAATGCAGTGCAAGATAACCAGACTTTGATTTTACAATTCTCTGTGTTTCCAAACAATTTACAAGAAAATTCCATCTGTTTCATTTGATCTTTAATGTTTGCTTTGTTGTGGTTTTTATATTGCAGTCTGTTCTTACAAATGCTCAGCTTTTGTGAGTGATAAACAATTTGGGATATACATGTACTGTATGTGCAATTATAAGTCAGAGAATGTAAGATGTTTAATTCCTCCACTGTGATTGGTTTTGCCAGATGTATCTTCAACAGCTCGAAAGAACTGCACTGCACATGTATTGCCCAAAGGAAAAGGATTGCTCTCCCTCCCGTAACACTGGTCCCATTACAGGCTGTAAAATATTTTGAGGGCTTCTTTTAAATGCAGTTTAGGCCCATTTTTTGAACTGAGTGGGACCCCTGACTAGAAGGTAAGCTTAGCTCACTGTGCTTATATGGGACACCATAGTGTGCTTCTTGGTAAAGGTGAACTAACCCTTTAATGAGCCAAGTGCTTGTAGTGCTTCTCCATTTGTCCAAGTAAGGCTTTTCAGGTAAACAGTAGCATGGAAGCTCATGGTTCCACTTCCAAAGATGAATAGGAAAGATTGACTGCTATGTATGGAACATACTATTCTCACGGCCAAACAAGTCAGAATCCCAGTTACAATCCACCACTCTATTACTAGTAAATCATTTAGGACTCAATGTCTTACCTGAAGTAGAAAGAGATCTTGCTGCCTTAACTATACCTTTTTCATTAACCCTGAACTTCCTTGAATAATGGAAATCAAGAGCCTGTTCAGACATTCACATAACTTAATGCCCTGCACTTTCATGCACCTAAGCTTGCACAATATATTATGATTTTAGATCTAGAGCAAATTCAACAGTCTTGTTTAGAACAGATCAAAACTGTAGCAACTATTGGTAACAAGAATACACCTTGAGCCTTTCTGAGTAAATTACTAACTTAACGTCCCTAGGGAGGAAATAAATCACAGGCATGGTTGTGGCAGGTGGAAAACTGCATCTCTGAACATAAAGGGGATCTATTACATTTTTAATTACTTCAATACCAGACACTTTTATCCCCTTCCTGCCCAGGCTAATTTTCAGCTTTCAGTGCTGTCACACTTTGAATGACAATTACTCAGTCATACAACACTGTACTCAAATTAAATACCTTTTTTTTTTAGTACAGATAGAACTTTCTTTTGGTGGTATTTCATAACCACTGGTTTTTTTTTTTTTTTTTGTTAAAGTGCTGAACATTTAAAAAAAAATGCAATTTTTGTTTCTGTTTTAAAATTCTGAAAATAATCTTTCTTCATAAATTGAGGCCAAATTTTAACCCAAATCTGTGTATATTATTTAGTCTCTTTGAAAGTTGGTGTACAAACTTTGGTATATATATTTTGAAAATCATTCAGCCCTGATGTATTAATGGCCTATCTAATCTCTTGAGGCTCTAAAATGCCAGCACAGTAGGCATACCCCCACACATGATCCCTTTTTGGAAAACAGACAGTCAGTGATATTTAGAAATGGGGCATGGTGAGCTGTGTTTTTTTTTCTTTGTCACATTTTTTTTTTTTTTGGAAAAGAAAGTAAGTAAACAATTTTTTTTTTTTTTTTAATATTTGTACAATTTTTTTTAACATACTGTGACCACAGCAGTACAGTGTTACCATAGTATTGCTGTACTACTCTGGGGAAGTGATCAGGAATTCAAAATTTTTTTTTTTTACACTATGATTGCTTAGAACAGTCGTGATCACTGTTCTAAGCAATCATTTTATGAATGGCATCCATCCATTCATTAATTTTGTTCTATTGTGAAAGCTGTGATTGCCCATAGCTATCATGTGGTACAGAAATGAACTCTGATTGGCCCTATCTGTACCTTGTGATCACTGTGATCAATCATAGAGATCAACGCAATAGTACTGTCATATAATTGCTGTGATTGGGCACAGTGATCACTTGGTACTGGGGCTGGCCCAGTACAATGATCTGTCATCCGCTGTATTCAGTGGACACAGCTGGTGAAAGATCATGCTGCAGCATGGCTCTTACAGCACAGTTGAGGCTGTGAGTGGGAGTTTGTCATATGACTTCCACCTAGGACGGAAAAGCTCCCAATGTCATTAGACTATAGGCCAGATGGGAAGCTGTTAAAGCTGCATTTATTAACTAGTTGCCGACCGCAGATAGCCGAATGACGGCTAAACTGCGGCCGGCCAGTTCTGAGTGGACGTCATATGACGTCCTCCCAGAACGCGCTTTCCTGCGTGCCCCAGGGGGCGCGCACCCGGCGATCTCCGTGTTCGCTGTGTCCTACGGACACAGCTGATCACTTGATGTGGTAAAAGGCCAATCACAGCGGCCTTTTACCACGTGATCAGCGGTGTCCAATGACACGCTGATCACAGGGAAATGCAAGTGCCGGTTCTTGGCTGCACTTTCCTCGCGCTGTCAGATCGTGAGGAAAGTACTGCCGAGAACCGGCAGTTGTCAGAGCGGGGATCGGCACCGATCATCAGGGCACTGATGATCAGTGCCCTGATGATCGGTGCCCAGCAATGCCACCCGCACGTTCTGCCCACCTGTGCCCAGCAGTGCGCCCCACTAGCTCCGCCCACCTGTGCCCAGCAGATCACCCACCTGTGCCCAGCAGTGACCCACCTGTGCCACTCTGCAGTGTCACACACCTGTGCCCACCAGTGCCACCCACCTGTGCCCACCCACCAGTGCTGCCCACCAGTGCCACCCACCAGTGCAGCCCAGCAGTGCTGCCAGTCAGTGCCACCAGTCAGTGCCCAGGGGTTGTGCCAGTCAGTGCCCAGCAGTGATGCCAGTCAGTCCGTCTATCAGTACCCATCATCAGTGTCACCTATCAGTGCCGCCTATCCGTGACACCTCATTAGTGCTGTCTATCAGTGCCGCCTATCTGTGACACCTCATTAGTGCTGTCTATCAGTGCCGCCTATCAGTGCCCATCAGTGCTGCCTCATCAACGCACATCAGTAAAGGAGAAAAAATACCTGTTTGAAAAATTTTATAATAGAAACAAAGAAATTTTTTTTTTTTTTTCAAATTTTTTTGCTCTTTTTTAATTTATAGCGCAAAAAGTAAAGCGCCCAGTGGCGATTAAATACCACCAAGAAAGCTCTATTTGTGAGAAAAAAATTATCAAAAAAAAACTAAAAGTTTCACAATGTTTATCCACCATTAATCGTGTCCAGTCGTCATTCACAGGGGGGCTGTCTCTGGGTGCCCCCCTTATTGTTAAAGGGGTCTTCCAGATTCTGATAAGAATCCCACCTGTAAATCCCCACATGGTTGTGGGTAAGAGGCCCTTGCTCTCATCAATATGTGGACAAGGCGTTTGGCCTGATATGGTTCAGGAGACGGTTGCATACTGGCCCCCTTTCCTCTTCTGGCCTGCCAGGCAGAATGCTTGGTTAAAGGTCTGTTGTGGATTTTTGGGGGAATCCCCCCATTTTTAATTTTTTTTGTTGTGTTGCTTCCTCCCAAAGTCAAACCAGACTGAAAGTTTTGGGAAGATCCATTTTCTTTTAGAAAAGAGCAGTCCCTTTTGGAAATTAACATACATTGCAAGGATTTTAACAAACTTTGTTCAACTTTGTGTTATGGATACTGATTCTGAATGGGAGTGACTAATTTTATTCAGCTCTCTCAAGATTCTGATCAGAAAAACTGCAGTGTTAGCGTGCCTTTTAAGTGATTAAAGTGATTCTAATGGCTTATATATTTTTTTTTTTTAAAGAAAAAAAATAACAATTCTGTCTATACTTACCTGCTGTGTGCAGTAGTTTTGCACAGAGCAGCCCAGATCCTCCTTTTCTCGGGTGCCCCTCTTCTCGGGTGCCCCTTTTCTCATGTGCCCCGCAGGGTCTCCTGGCCCCTCCCTCCTGTTGGTTGCCCCCACAGCAAGCAGATTGCTATGGGGGGGGCTCCCGCTGCGCCGTGTGTCCATATCACACACGGAGCTGAAGCTTGGCTCCCACCCCCTGTCTCTTCTCATTGGCTTACTGGCTGTGATTGAGAGCAGTGGGAGCCAATGGCTCCCATTTCAATCTCAGCCAATGAGAAGAGGGAGTCCTAGGATAACTTAGACTCCAGTGCACATCACTGGATCGAGAGGAGGCTTAGGTGAGTTTTATGGGGGGCTGGGGGGAATGCTGCACAGAGAATGCATGAAGGTAAAAACCCTTGAACCTTTAGAACCACTTTAACCTTTAGGTAGTATCTTACCAAAATTTGAATTTTGCGGAGGTTGTCTGAAACCTAACTTGTACTATACCTTAGCGCAGAATTCTTCAGACAAGCAGGAAATGACATTTCTGGGGGGCATTCTTTATGCCTACTATGTTACTTTGAAATTTACAGAAAATTACAGCGCTGCAGATTGAAAAGGAAAGGTCATAGTAATAACATTAGATTGTAATATGGCTTGAGTAGCTATTTTATAAGATTTATCATTGTTTTTATTTTTTTCCCACATAAGTGGAACTGCCCTTTAAAGTGGATCTAAACCCACCAATTTAACTGTTGCCCAAAAAGTTACATTCAAAGCACACAAGTGGTAATGGTTACAATTACTATTGTACTATGGTGGCTTTCACCTGAACAGTCAAGCCATCACTCAACTGGTGTCATAGCTGATCACATGTGCAACAGCATGGCAACTGCAAATCAAACCGAGGCTAAGATGGCAGCTTCCTTGGCTGTAAAGGATAAGGAGGTTTTAGTTCTACTTTAAGGTCATCTGTAATCCATGGCCAACAGTAAAGGATAGGAGGGTTTAGTTCTACTTTAAGCTCATCCGTAATCATGGCCAACAGTAAAGGATAGGAGGGGTTAGTTCTACTTTAAGCTCATCCGTAATCATGGCCAACAGTAAAGGATAGGAGGGTTTAGTTCTACTTTAAGCTCATCCGTAATCATGGCCAACAGTAAAGGATAGGAGGGGTTAGTTCTACTTTAAGCTCATCCGTAATCATGGCCAACAGTAAAGGATAGGAGGGGTTAGTTCTACTTTAAGCTCATCCGTAATCATGGCCAACAGTAAAGGATAGGAGGGTTAGTTCTACTTTAAGCTCATCCGTAATCATGGCCAACAGTAAAGGATAGGAGGGTTTAGTTCTACTTTAAGCTCATCCGTAATCATGGCCAACAGTAAAGGATAGGAGGGTTAGTTCTACTTTAAGCTCATCCGTAATCATGGCCAACAGTAAAGGATAGGAGGGGTTAGTTCTACTTTAAGCTCATCCGTAATCATGGCCAACAGTAAAGGATAGGAGGGGTTAGTTCTACTTTAAGCTCATCCGTAATCATGGCCAACAGTAAAGGATAGGAGGGGTTAGTTCTCTACTTAAGCTCATCCGTAATCATGGCCAACAGTAAAGGATAGGAGGGGGTAGTTCTACTTTAAGCTCATCCGTAATCATGGCCAACAGTAAAGGATAGGAGGGTTTAGTTCTACTTTAAGCTCATCCGTAATCATGGCCAACAGTAAAGGATAGGAGGGGTTAGTTCTACTTTAAGCTCATCCGTAATCATGGCCAACAGTAAAGGATAGGAGGGGTTTTAGTTCTACTTTAAGCTCATCCGTAATCATGGCCAACAGTAAAGGATAGGAGGGGTTAGTTCTACTTTAAGCTCATCCGTAATCATGGCCAACAGTAAAGGATAGGAGGGGGTAGTTCTACTTTAAGCTCATCCGTAATCATGGCCAACAGTAAAGGATAGGAGGGGGTAGTTCTACTTTAAGCTCATCCGTAATCATGGCCAACAGTAAAGGATAGGAGGGTTTAGTTCTACTTTAAGCTCATCCGTAATCATGGCCAACAGTTCCAAAACAGCTGTTTGTAATTTTGAAGTAATAGCTCTAGTATTAGGTTGTATCTGTGCTGTAAGCTAGTGGTTCTGGATGTACAGTTGGCCTGGGGAAAAAAACGGAATGATTTGATGAAAGTCAAACATGCAGACACCTGCTGTTGAAAGAAGTATCTTCTGTGCTACACTGTTGGAGCAATTCTGTGGTAGAACATTATGGAAATTTGTCTTTCTCAACCTGGTAGCTATGAACAATACAGTGTGATAAAAATGTTAAATTGCCATTACAGTTTAGTTTCTGAAGCTAACTTTACAGTTAGTTTTTGAAAACATTTACTCTCCAAAAATCAGGGCTCATTTAAACCTGCTTTGCTCTGTCAGGACTGTTTTTCTTTTGGATCACTCTTCAGAAAGCATTTGACAGGCAGTGAGGAAGCGTTGTATTGCCTCCTCAGAGCCTGTTTAACCCCCTAAACATCGGCCAGCCACGCTACAACCACGACCAGCATGTCAAGGAGTATAATTTCTGCCTGGTCGCTACCCCTGTCTCTGCAGCAAAGGGAGGAGCAGTTGGGGGACAGTAAAAATGTGGCACAAATACGGGGTTTTACTGTGCCCCCCCCCCCCAATTGCAAGTATAAACAAGCCCTAATTTCTTGTTAAACATCCAGTTGAGCTCTATGTTGTATTCCTAACTTTCTATGTGTTTGTTTCTCCAAACTGGTTCTAAACACTTGTTTGTGGATGTACAATTGCTTTACACGTACAATTTTTATACTGTATTCCACCATTTATAACCTCATTTGTTTTCATTCTAAGATAAGCTTGGATCAGGTTTCTGAAGAAATTTGGAAGGCACTGTGCTTGGTAATAAAGGATACATTGTATAAAAATAAGGCACATAATGAAAAGGAAAAAGCGACAAAAAAGGCTGTCAGATGCCAACTGCTCAGTATTCATTTGGAAGTTACATTCTATAAGCTGACAGAGTAAAAAGTTCCTGGACTGCTTTGAAGCTTAAAGGATAAGTTCACCTTTTTAAAATAAACACTCATCTTTTTTGCAGGTAAAAAAAAAATTTTTTTTTTTTCATTAAGAACCTTTGAAGCATTGATCTGCAGATCTCAGGTGCAATCTTAGGCTCCTACAGACTGTTAGTGTAAATTGTCTGCTCGTACCTTGTATGAACAGGCAGTTGGGCTCCATTCACACTGGTGCGTCTCCAAAGTCATGTGATTTCTATTGGGACTTTGATGCAACTTGGATGTGACTTTGGCTTTTACTGTTGCAAAACTTTCACATTGATAACATTAGGATGCAACTTTCATGTGATGTTTGAGCTTTTACCTTGCAATCTATGGCACTCAAATCACATGGAAGTCGCATCAAAGTAGCGCAGGAACTTTTTATAAGTTGTTGCGACTTTATGTCACATATATTTGAACGGTTTCCATTGCAATACCTAGGCTACGACTTGTCATGCGACTTTGTGTCCAAGTGTGAATGGGGCCTTACTGAATGACAGGAATCATCAATGAACTAGAGTGCTCCTCAACACCCTGGTAGTTCACTGAGAACTACAAGCCGTCAGCTGCAATGGCTGCATGTAGTTGTTCTCCCATTCACAGAACTTTGTGAATGAATGGCACTGCTGGGTTTTTTTTTTAAATTGTGGGTGTGGGGAAAAGATTCCCTGCCTGCTGTCACAACAGGCGCTCAGGGGTAGGAGGTGCATGGGCTGCTCATTTAGTAACATGTTGCCCAAATATTGGTGTAACATGTTACTAAAGCTGAACTCCTTTTTTTTTACCCAGGGATTCCATGAGGTGGTGACTGGCCATCCAGGAGGACTAAAATGAGGCTTTGTTTTCTCACATGCATACAATGACTTAAAGGGCAGTCTAATCTGGTATTTCAATATTTGGTAGTTGCTGGCTGGTTAGTCTCGGTTCACACTACTGCTACCTGAAAGTCGCACGACTTGGCCAGACAACTTGAGTACTACTCTGAAGCAACTTTCAGGGAATGTCTGGGTAATTGTCCTGTAATGTTGGATCCAAATCACATCAATATAGATGAGGATCCGACTTGCAG